ATTTAAGTTTCACCATATGCAAAACATATTCAGAGGCTTTAACTTTTGTTAGCATTATGTGCATTATCTCTAAGAGATTCCCAAATAACAAAATGTATCATCCTTTTGACGATATCACTCGTGTTTATTACAAGAGATGTGCTGATTGTTGTTCTCATGAAGGTTTACCTTTTAGATTATTTAATCTCACATCTCTGATATCCAGCGAATGCTGTTGATTCAAACGTGATTTTTGATTTATGACATTGCTGGCTATCAGTGAACATACGAATATCCATTTATTTGTTCAGAGTATCGTTTGAACGTTTTGATGTTTAATGTCAACATTCGGACGATTTACATAACACGAATAGGTAAACGTGTCGCCTGAAGTCTGAACATTCACAGTGTACCGAGTGAATGCATGAACAAATACTTTCGTAATTGCTGTTTTGTGATTATCATTCTCGTAATTATACAATTCACCACCACATATTGGATACAAGGGGTCTATAAACACAACGTTTCTCTGAGAATGCATGCATATGAATATTCTGGAGAACGTGATCATTTATGGAATCAATAGTATCAAACTGATTGTGAACACCAGATAATCTTTCAACTTCAATTTGCACTCATCAGGGTTCATGTTTTCTTGAAAAAACATGTACTTTCCGCCAGAATTGCAAACAATTTCATTCAGATCTGATGGAATTTGATAACAACGAATTTTAATAAGGGCACATGTATGTGGAATCGTTGTTGTTGCTGTTGTTAACATGAATTCATTTGTGGTTGTGATGTTATCATAGACATAACATCATTATCTCGAATCAACAAGTTTTACTAAACGTGTTATTCGCTCTTAAGTACAAATCCACTCTGTCAAAACACTCATTAACGATGTTGACTACTACTGCATTCTAAATCATCTGTCCATTGAGACTAATACAGTTTTCCGACCCGTAACATCTGAAATCAATGAACAGTAACTCAAATTAATTCGTCCGCGATAGGGGTCAGCTTGAGCTAATCGCATCGCATTTTCTCTTTATGCATACAAGTTAAGCAGTGAGATTTATCGATCAGTAGCATATCATTGAAGATATAGAAGGATGGGCAGAGAAAATGAAAGCTGTCATGTACATTATTATATTTCGAGGCACTGAACACTGATAATAGGTGGTGATCATTATTATAACGTGTGATCACAACGAATTCAGCAGTTTCAATTCTCCAAACTGCATTCATCCATATCAACGTCGGCGGATTTCTTGCCTTTAGGGCCCTTTTTGCCTTTACTCTTGGATCGTGAACGTGACCGCGAACCTTTTCTCTTAGGTTGTGAACGTTTCTTTGAACCTGCAATAATTTCAACTTGTTGGCACTGACGATATACTCCGTGGTGACTGATAAGAGATGATAATTGAAAATGGAATGCGTGATCGAATTGATTTAAGTATGACAAAAATATCAACGAAATTGTATCACTTACCATCAGCAGCAGCATTTTTAGCACCAGCAGCATCACTGGTTTGTTTTTCGTACGGTTCTGCTTCTTTCCTCTGCAAATAAGACGAGCAATGAGGACATGATACTGAATCTAAAAGTGAGATACTGAATCGTTCGTATCTTATAAGCAAGTAACAAATATTCCTTGAAAACAAAATGAAAATGAGTGTAATCTAAACGAAAATCCAGGCAACTTCCAGTAATCATCGCAAAACTGGAACACGTATCACCGATCATGATTTATGAATCATTCGGCTAGCGTAAAAGTGTCGTTAATCCAAAATTTCGGGCCGGATTAAGTTGAGCTTAGAATTAGCCTTAGATTGGGGCTGAAATCTGGACTCAAGCTAATGATCAGTCTCAGCAAAGTATTCTGACTTGAGCATATGCAATTACGCTCAAGTTAGAAAACGTTTTCATGCAGTAATATCCCCCACAGTGTCCCAACTAAATTTTCGACTGACGACAAAACGCGAATCGAAGCTAATCACCTTCTCATCATAATCGGGTGGTTTGTCGGCCTCAAATGCCGGAAAATCGTATGGACACGGTCGTTTCGTTAACGATATATTGTAGTCTTTTGCCCAGTCGATCATTATACCTTTCATATCTTTCGCCGGTTGACCATATACAGTTCTAGGNAATGAGTGTAATCTAAACGAAAATCCAGGCAACTTCCAGTAATCATCGCAAAACTGGAACACGTATCACNGCTGATGATCTGACAGTACCCCGTTATCCCTCCCTCCTATAAAATATGGAAATCGCATATGTTATGTTGAGATGACTGTTATGTTCAATATTGTTCAGATGGTAATCGACTTCGCCAGGCCTTACCGTTGTGTTGCTCATTATTGCAACCGATTATGAGTGTATGAAAACCTATTATCTATGACACGCTCACTTAAAATGATTTAGATGGATTCTCATTCTTTTCAGACGTGTTGTATTCGCTCTCGTAGCTATTACATGCGAATACCGTTCTATTGATGAGTTTTTCTCATTCACTTCGTCTCGTTTCACTTCACAGTTCGAATAAACTTCTCATTCTGTAGCATATACTATTTGCTTGATACGTTGACGAGTGTTGACAACCGAAGTCAGCAATACAGCAATCGAATTGAATTGCTCAACAGTCGAATGACCAATTATAGAGTATATTCGATAGAATGAGAATTTCACTTTAACTGTTGAGTGAAACGAATGAGAAATTAACGCGACTTTGATTGTTGAATGAAATGAATGAGAAATTACCAAAAGAGAACACTTTTGCTGATAAAAGCTATGAGAGCGATTGTAGCATCAAGGAAAAGAATGAAAACTATAAAAGCTATGAGAGCGATTGAAACAGCAAGGAAAAGAATGAAAACCCTTTTAAAACGAATAAAAACCCTGTTGGGCTCAGACAAGCTAATGATACTGAGAAAATGGGCGAATGGAAAATGTTGCCATCAACAAACCGCATTTACACACCTGAGTTAAGAAACACCATCACAATGGCGTTCTATCATGAAATAACAACTGCACGAAGCAGTAATTTGCTGACACCTCCATTACCCCTTCACATCTCCAAATTACTCAAAATGGGTAATTTCACCTTCTATGAGAACCACTGTTCTATTAAAGTATGAAATGCCGAACATTTATTATTGGTTATTCCAAAATTTCTGCCTTATTTAGGCGTAACTCAGTGCTGAGTGTTCCTCATGAATCTGTTCTGTCCTATTCCTTTCTTGACACTAGTGCAATTCCGATTCTAAACCGCAAGATGTTTTATCAGCAAGCATGATGGCGAAGTATCAAGCAATTTACTTGGTTTTCTTGAAGATATGCTCGACAGCCGTATCTCCTTTTTGGTCATTCTCCGTATCCAGCTGTCTGTATTCATCTTCGGATTGCTCCGAATAATTGAACACAAGAAACAGTGAGTCCGGTACACCTTTCTCGTCTTCATGATAAATACCCGATGACACGTATGCACCCATTTGCTCAGCAATTGTAAGAAGCTATCAATAAGTTAGCTTTGACAGATATTTGAACGATATTTGTTATCAGTTAATTGTAGTGATAATCTATCGAAGTTGTCAATTAACAGAGTCAAAAAACCTGAAACGCCCAAAAAATTCATATGAAAGCCGTAGCTAGACATTTCACATGTTCAGAAAGTTAATTAACATTTATTTAGCGATGCACAATGTTCTTTAGCACCCAAAAGCTTCCTAAATGCAAGAGAATAACTCTGACAGTCCTTCAACAATGAGTCTGCGTTTCTTCCATCTAACTGTAAAATTTTAGATGAACACGACTTGAATTGAATGTGTTGGCGACGAAAGCATAAAACTAACCAGCAACCACCAGAGGACATAAAATTTATAAAATAACGGCAACTGAGGGATTCCGTCTCTTCGAATATGAACATTTGAATATTTCAGGAAATGGTTGTGTGCAAAATTGGGATATTTTCATTATACGGCTTGACTTTTCATATTTCAAGAACAATCCAATAATGAAATTCTTCTATGCATAATCATTTCATCTCAACGGATATATTGTATCATCTCAACGGAGTTCACCAAATTGCAACTTCAGTTTCTACTTTATCCATAATTTTCTGAATTTGTATATTTTTCGTGCTGTTCCATCGTAATTTCATAATACTACTTGCTGTTGCTTCATGAAAACGTGAAAAGAACGTCATTCTTCGGAATCTTTCCGGAATTATTGTTTTATTTGGCTCAACAAACCGTTAATTCACCATACTTTCCTGATTCGTGTTCATTTGCGTTACTATTCTCTTGAACAGTTTCACAGTATGATCATGACCGTTCCAAAGTATCATTTTTAATGAAATGGAGAAACTACTGAAAGTAGTTGATGAGAATGAATGCTCCTTGAGATTACAAGAACGACTGGATGCGATTAATAAACCTGTGAGCACTGACAAGGTGAATAATTGATTTTCCTCCTTGAAAAGTTCAATATTTTAAAGAATGTAATCTGCAATTGAACAACGGAACCTGCATTGAATTTTGGAAGTATTTAGCATTTATAATTGAAATTTAGTTTGTGACGGAACCAATTCCAAGTAATTTTGATGCGCGTTACTTGGAATGTTGTATGTATTGATATTGTAAATATCGTTAGGAATTGTTCATCTACGCTTTGATTATGTTGTATATTCAACTCGTTGAATATCGTATAAGTTCTGATGTTTAAGCATTTTTCGTGAATCCCCTATTGTGGATCAGTGAATAAATATTCGTTCATTTCTTTACTAATAATGAACAACAGCGACGACATAAATGTGCATTTCACACATCAAAAGCACCTGCAAAACTCATTGAAACGCATTCTTTTAGAGGTAAAATCCCTCAAATTCTCGACGAAATTAATCTTCTAATGCATTGTTGATGATGCGCTGCGATACAAAATTAATGGTGCATTCATTCAAACAGCGAAGTCATCCCGTATTCTAAAACTTCACTTGCGAAAAATCAACTTAACGCAGAAGACATAATAATACCCTATATATATCTACAGTCTCATCTCAATAACCTTTGCCATTATTTGAATCAATGAGTCTCAAACCACTAGGCAAGCAATTACGATTGCAACCCTAGAAGGGGGATGCGGTTTATCACTTCCCAACAAAAATCACCTAAAATTGGCAATCGCCGATTTACTCTTTGGTTACAACCTATTTTCCAAACCGCCTATGCGATAACATTT